GCTTCTGTATGCTCATGCAGAGCTTCTGGCTACCCTCTTCATGGAAAGCGCGCGTTAGCCCAGACATTCTCGCAAAGCATCTAACAGATTTAAGGCGGCTTGACCAAGTCTGCTATGCTATTCAAGGGAAGTCAAAGATAAGGATACAGACTAGTCAGCTAAGAGTTCCACGCCTTTTTTATAGCATAGTTTGTTAGTCCTATGCGTATATAAGGAGGCCTCCGCCTCAGGTTCAAATAACTTGAAGGAGCTGACTTATACTATACGCGAATTCTTGTGAGATTACTTTTTGTTCTTCAATTGTTCATTATTATCAATAAAAACATTCGGTTATTCAAAGTATTATTTACTGCTTTACTGTCTTCTTTGAATATCTTGTTTAATCAATAGAAATACTTTGTTGTTCTTGTTTTACGCAAACAATATTTCTGCAAATTAAGAGTATCTGGATTCCAACAACCCAATCCCAAAAAAATATTGTTTTAGTTTCCAAAAGTAATAACGAAACACCGAGGAAGACGATCAATCCAATTTACTCGTGTCATCCCGACTAGTGGATGCCTCATCCGTGGCATCCGGTGTGGTGGTCCGTCGAATCTTCGGAAGCCTGACTTGAGGAGGGCAAAGGCCTCCGGGAAAGCACGGTATCTCTAAAGCTAGCATCACAGTCTTGTGCGATAGAAACTTGTTCATGACCCGGATCCTATCTCTTGTATACATCCAAAGCTTTTCTAAACACGCCGTGAGTCCGACAACTCGATATTCAACTTGAGTGATTCTCTCGGAAATCTTGGCTAAAGCATTAACCATCGTCCCCATCTTCTGGTTACATTCCTCCCATTGGCTAGCCATGAGCGACAACCACACCTTTGAACCATAACCCATGGCCGTATGTGGTATTGGCGGTATGTCGGTAGTGGTCGGAGGGGTAGTTGTGACTGGTTTGGAGGCTGGAACAGTAGGATCATTGGCCCTTCGTGGGCTGTTGGCAGCAGGTCTAGGTAGGACTTGGGGTCCGGTAGCATCATCGGCTAAGTCGGCATTCTCATGGTCCGGCTTGTGCATGCGGTTAACCGTTCCTTGATCAAGCAAGGAATGGTTAAATGTGATGATATCATGCTCCGAGACGGGTACCTTCGCGGCTGTCAATAGCTTCGTGATCAAACCTGAAAAAATCAAACACGAACTAGCTCGCACGGTTGATGTTAGTATTGTTGAATAAGCGAGAGCGCCCACGTCAATCAGAAGTTCCTTTAGGATGCAATAGACCAAAATACACTTTGCCCGTGACAATGTACGATCATGCATGGAAGGCATGATATTGTGACGCAAAAATTGAAACCAAGGGCCATCCTCTAATGTTAAGTGCCCGGACATCAAAATCTTTCTACGGTTATCTTGAGACCAACCGTATATGGGCAAAAGAAGCGCTCGTGCGATCTCCTCCTCCGGTACATCAAATCCACCATCTATAAATTGTCGGTATGAGCACACAAACGGGGCGGTGAGACCAAGCACCGAGTTTAGCTTCAGTGCCATCCAATTTACCCGCGTTCCTCTAATGACAATTGTGTCATTTTTGGAACTCCTGATGGTTGCGAAAAATTCCTTTACCAATGTCTCATTAACTTTGCATGGAATGGCTATCAAATTTCCCCAATGATGGGCAAGCAAATGGTGCTTAACGCACATCAATTTTTCGCTAAGTTTCGGGTCAAAAGCCCGTTCACACAGAAATCGATTATTACAAATATGATCCATAATCATCATCGAGAGCCTCTGTCACCTTTGCCTTTCCTTTTTCCCGCCATTGTTGGGACCTAATCTTCGGCCCACCCGATGCTTGACTCGAAGAGCGGGTTTGCCTCCTCTCAACAATAGGGGCTGTTACCGGTGTTTGATCGGGCTATTTATCGGTACCAACGATCGACGGTGTCTCGAATGGGAAAGTTTCAGTTTGTCTTATCTCCGGTATACCTTCAAAATCAAACATGATATCGTCCAAACCTTCATCCTCACCTTCCCCTATTTGTTTCAAATCGAACCGTGAGTGTGTTGGGGAAACAGGTGGTGAAGGGGCTAGGGTTGGTTCATCAACATTGGGGATGGGTGTACGAGTGGGTTGTGATGGTGCAATTGTGGGTGGGGTATAAGAGGTGCTCAAAGAGATGGAAAATGGTTTTGGGGTTGAATAAGATTCGGCCAAATGAGATGATAAAGCCACCCTTGTGAGGACAACCATACCATCATCATTATAAGAGAGCACATTGGTGGTTGGGGGGGATGAGTGTTTTGTGGAGGAAGAAGGAGGAAGGGTACTTACAGAGGCCGAAGGGAGGTCGCGGTAGGCGGCAATGGTGCTCGCGGCGACTGCACTGGCGGAGGAAGATCCTCCCATCGCCGATGAAGATGGTCCGGCCGAAGAGGATGCGGGCTCGACTGTCTGCGTGTTACCGCCGGTTGAGGCGGCGGCGGTCTGTCGTCGACGAAGGGAACGTCGGGAAGGATGGTTTCGGACTGGTTGCTTCGGTCGTGCCATGGAGGAATCGGTTTTTGGGCGGCGGTTTTCTTGAAACAGAGAAGGGAGACGAAGGAGTGAAGAAGAAGGGAAGGAAAAGTAGGTTTAGTGGTTTTTGATTTAAAAATTTTAAAATCTTGGGAAGGGAAATGAGAAAGTTGATTTGAAAGACATGATAACAATTCTATTTTATTAAAAAATAGCGATGACCAAATAGTAACCTCATTGTCATGATGTCTCCTTTGGGGGTACAAGTACTTGTATAAAATACAAGTATTCTACCCAATATTCAAAAAGACATATGTTTAAAAATAATCACTTAAATTTTTTATTTTCATGTTTTTTCAAAAAATGGTCATTTTAAAAAGAAAATCATGCTCTTTTCTTCACTTTTTTTTTAAAAAATGTAGAAATTTCTTTCACCCTCTTCCCATTTATTTTTTTTCAAAAAATTTTTGTCCAACAACCCACTTATCAAAAGCTAATCGTCCAAGAATTGTCCTGAGCCAATGATTTGACCCATAAACCCTCATTTCACATCCTCCCATGTTTACCTAATGTGACATCACATGTCCTTTCCTTAAAGCCTCATTTTCCAGGCAATTTCCATTTACCAAGAAAAAAAATGTATTTGTTGACACAAGAAATAAAATGCTACCAAAGGGCCTTTGGCCTAGCGGTATCGTAGCCCTTGACCTTCTAGGAGGTCAGAGGTTCAAACCTCACCATAGGTGAGGAGGGAGTGTGAGTTTATTTGTTGCATTTGCCGTATATAAATATTATATACTTAAAAAAAATGTTGCTGATTCTTCTTCAAAATTCGGATGACCCAGACAGTGGGCACAAACTTCCCACTTCTATTAAAAAACACCAGATATTCCTTTATTATTTTTTTTCTTTTTCTCCATTCTTGCTTTCAAAATTATTTACAAGGTTTGAAAAATCCTTTCCACAGTTCCGAATTTTCCCACATTTATAATGGTGAATGGAGAACTAAAGAGGAGAATTAAAGAGGAGAACTTTTTGAACATTTTCAAAAATTCGACGATTTATCCTACGATCATGCCAAAATTTTGTTTTTTCCTTGTAGAGTTTGGCATTCTCGTAAGCATGAAATCTCCATTCTTCCAACTGATTAAGTTGGAATTTTCTTTTTACTCCCGCCGAATTTGCATCCAAATTAAATTCCTTTATTGCCCAAAAAGCCTTATATTCCAATTCGAGCAGGAGGTGACATGCTTTTCCAAAAACTAACTGGTACGGCGACATTCCCAAAGAGGTCTTGAATGCGGTTCGGTATGCCCATAATGCATCATCCAACTTGAGTGACCAATCCTTACGATATGGTCTTACAACTTTCTCTAAAATATTTTTAATTTCTCGGTTCAAAAGTTCGGCAAGACCATTCGTTTGGGGATGGTATGCCGTAGCTACTCGGTGTTGGATGTTGTATTTGGTGAGAACGGTAGATAGAATTCGATTCATAAAATGTGTCCCTTCATCACTTATCAAAGCTCGAAGAGTTCCAAAACGGACAAAAATATTTTTATGTAAAAAATCGATTACCGTCTTCGCATCGTTCTTCGGGCATGCATTAGCTTCCACCCACTTCGAAACATAATCAACCGCCACTAAAATATATTGATTATTGAAAGACATAGGAAACAGTCCCATGAAATCAATGCCCCAAACATCGAAAAGTTCAACTTCAAGAATGTTATTTAAAGGCATTTCGTTCCGTTGGGACAAATTTCCCATTCTTTGGCACTGCTCACATCTCTTCACAAAATTAAATGCGTCTTTAAACAATGTAGGCCAAAAAAAATCTACTTTGTAAGATTTTTGCTACCGTACGTTGTCCACCAAAATGGCCACCATACGGCGAAGCATGACAATCCTTTAATAAGAATGGATTTCAAAGTTCGGGAAACATTTCCGCAAGACCTGATTTGCTCCTATTTTGTAAAGAGATGGATAGTCCCATAAGTAGTGCTTACGGTCATGAAGAAATTTCTTAAAACGTTGACCGTGAAGATGATGTGGCTTAAGCCCACAAGCAAGGTAGTTGGCAATATCGGCATACCATGGAATTTCATTTGGATGATTTTCTTGTATTGCCAAAATGTATTCATCGGGAAATGTTTCTCTTATAACATGGTTTTCCCCGCTTGATACTTTGCCTTCAATCCTAGAAAAATGATCGGCTACTTGATTGTCACATCCCTTGCGATCAACTATCTCTTGATCAAATTCTTGCAAAAGAAGAAACCATCTAATAAGCCTCGGTTTAGCGTGGGTCATTAAAGAGATATTTGATGGCAGAGTGATCCGTATGAACGATGACTTTGGTGCCAATCAAGTAGGATCTAAAACGATCGAATGCAAATACTACCGCAAGTAATTCTTTTTCTGTGGTGGTATAATTTAACTGGGTCTCCACCAAGGTTTTACTTGCGTAGTAGATGGGGTGAAAAATCTTGTTTCACTTTTGTCCCAAAACGGCACATACGGCCCAGTCACTTGCGTCACACATAACCTCAAAAGGCATGGTCCAATCTGGGGCAATGACAATAGGTGACGAGACAAGAGCTTTTTTAATGGTTTCAAAAGATTTCTTACAATCTGAGGTAAATTCAAAAGTTTGATCGATATGCAACAAGTTACATAAGGGTTTTGCAATTTTAGAAAAACCTTAATAAATCTCCGGTAAAAACCCGCAATGTCCCAAAAAACTTCGAATGCCTTTGACCGAAGATGGTTCGGACAATTGCAATATTACCGCAATTTTTGCTTTATCAACTTCCAAACCATTTTTAGAAAACATATGACCCAAAATAATTCCTTCTTGTACCATAAAATGACATTTCTCCCAATTTAAAAATAAATCATGAGTTGCACATCTTTCCAAACCTTTTTTTAAATTGTCAAGACAATTTTCAAAAGATGTACCGATGGCGGAAAAGTCATCCATGAACACTTCCATGGTATCCTCAATCATGTATGAAAAAATTGACATCATGCACTGTTGAAAGGTAGTCGGTGCTTTACAAAGACCAAACGGCATACGCCTTAAAGCAAAAGTTCCGAAAGGACAAGTGAAAGTTGTTTTCTCATGATCCTCGGGTGCGATGTGAATTTGGTTGTAACCCGGGTAGCTGTCCAAAAAGCAATAATATTCTTTTCCGGCCAATCTATCTAGCATTTGGTCAATAAAGGGCAAAGGGAAATGATCCTTTTTGGTTGCTAGATTCAATTGCCTATAGTCCATGCAAATCCGCCATCCGGTGATGGTCCTAGTAGGGATGAGCTCATTTTTTTCATTGGTGACAACCGTGGTTCCACCTTTCTTTGGTACACATTGTACCGGACTCACCTAACCACTACTAGAAATGGGGTATATAATACTCGCATCTAACCACTTCAAGATTTCTTTCTTCATGACTTCTTTCATAATGGGATTTAGTCTCCTTTGTGGTTGCACCTTTCCAACTCTATTTTTTTTCCAAGATTATCTTATGTTGGCAAAGGGAGGGACTAATTCTTCTAGGGCAAATTGCCTAAAAATGTAACGTACTTTAGTTTTATTCCTATTTTGAGTAACATACTTTCAAAACCTTCATTTTGATACCTAAGATATAAAATCTCAAACTTTCAAGTACTTGGGTAACCTGTACTTTAGGTAACCGGTAAACTAAGAATGACATGTATTTGAAAGAAATGAAGTGGAATTAAAATTGACATGTAATCAAATGACATGGAAAATATTAAACCCCTTATCTTTTAAAACTGAATTTCCCGAGGGATTTCAATCGACACCCTAAGCAACCGACTCCTTCAATTCAACAATCGGCTTCCTCAATCGACGAATTCTTCTTGCAAATCTTCCCTCACTCGTCGTCACCAACCTCCTACATCGATAATATCTGGTCTTAGGTATGTAAAATTGTTGTATTTCTTCTTCATCAACTCGATTTTTTGTGGTTTTAGAGCTTTTCTAAAATTTCCGCTTTTGTGTTTTTAGGGTTTGAATCTGTTATATCACATTGTAATAAGTATCAGGTTAGTTCTAAAATCAATTTGAATGTTCAATCTGCATTGTTCAATCTATATGTTCAATCTTCTTCAGAGTACGAAGTTTTCCTATGACGTTCTAAAATCTCCTGATATTGCCTATAATATTATGAGAATATGTCTTTTAATAAGGCCTTATATGGCCATAAATGTAAGCTTATAATTACGAAGTAGTTGGAATAGCTATCTGGCATCCATCGCAATCCATAACTCCAGATAAGTCAGTGGTGGTGGTGTTATGCACGATGATAATTCTAGTGCAGGCACAAGATGGAGGTTTGTTTCATGGGTTTTCTTAGTTATTGATGCAATGAATTTAATGTTTATGGTTTGCAATCACATGACAAATGACATTCCACTTTAGATGCCATATGGAAATGTGATATAACAGATTCAAATGGCAACCTATTTGCAACTGCTTCTAAATACAGATGCCATATGCAAATGTGGTGAATTTTACCATTTGGCAAGAATGATGCCATTAGACTTGATATAATCATTGCTTCTAAATACATATGCCATAATTTTATATGTCAGTTTGTGTTAATAATGTATTAGTTATTTGAAAGCATCACTATCGAATAAGGGGCCGTTTACCAAACACTTACCGAGTAAATGCTTACCGGTAAAATTTAACACTATTAATTACTTACAGGGTAAGATTTTAGTCCATCAAAACGGCATTGTATGCAACAATTCACCCGGTAAGCGCTTACTGTGGTAAGAGTCGATCACCCTCACATACCAGGTAAGACTCATGGTCCTTGTCTCGCTCTTACCAGGTAAGATTCTTAGTCCTTACCATATTCATTCGATGTTGTAATGTAACTTGATAAGTGCTTACCCAAGTAACTATTTAGTAAACGACCCCTAACATGATAACCAACTACATAAATGGCATTCAGTGATTTAGATGTGCTTTTTTATTTAGCTGACAGTCTTTCTACTACAAACCTTGTTTTGTTAATTTCTGGATCCTGATGGAGCGTAATTCTTGCAACTTCTCCACAATCAACACTAGCTCAAGCTGAAATAAGGCAAAATGAACATCTAAGTTCTGTCTAGAGGATTATAACGACCAATGAACTAATCCTCCCTGCATCTCTCATACACTCTCTAATAATATGTAAACTTCACATTCTTGAGAACATGAGGTTATCCATGGTTGAAACAGATAATATACAAAGTTATTAGGCCATTCAAGTCCAGTTTCTTTCCCATGTTAATAAAGAAACATCAACAGTTAGCAAGCTCATAAAAACTAAAGATAAATTATTGACATAAGATCCAAGATTATTACCTTCGATTCTAATCTCCTTTGCTCCTCTTTAGCCTTTTGCTTTGCAATTTCCTTCATTTTCTCCACCTGCAAACAAACTTTCCCTGTTTAGATTTGGAAAACTTGTGCTTTGGAACTATACACTAGTAGAAAAATTCAGATCATAAGTTAAAGATAGAAAATAAGATATATTTAGCCAATTATTGTTATAAATACTTTCTACTACACCAAAGGATCAATGGCCATCGGTATCTAGGTTACTGGTACAACCAGCCTCCGAGGAGGTCAAGGGTTCAAACCTCACCAAAGGTTCGTACTCGAGTAGTTACCATATGCAAATATTATATACTTCAAGCATTTGAGTACCAACGACATCAAGGCTTAAGGTATATGGTAAGAAGATAAGACGAAATCCTTCTATAAAGTTAGTTGAACTAAAAGAATCAATTCTTAGAAAATACAAGTGCACAATTCAGATAAGTCAATGTAGTAGGGCCAAAGAAAAAGCTTTGGAAGGATTGGAAGAGTACCTAGTTGATCATTATGGAAAATTGCGGGACTATGGAGAAGAAACCATGAGGAGTAACCCAGGGTCAACCGTCAAATGAGTGTAGAGGTAGGGCTGGATGAGAAGAACTATTTTAAGAGGTTTTATGTTTGTTTGAAAGGTGTGAAAGATGGATGGTTGGCAGGTTGTAGAAAGTTCATTGGACTAGATGGATGTTTTTTGAAAACCTATTGTAAAGGAGAACTATTAAGCGCGGTAGGCAGGGACGCGAACAGTTAAATATACCCACTTGCTTGGGCTGTAGTTGAAGTAGAATGTAAAGATAGCTAGAAGTGGTTCTTGGAATATTTGATGCAAGACATTGGATTGACAGATGGATTAGGGGTGACATTAATGTCAGATCAACACAAGGTAATCTAATTGTATTACTTTTTTCTTTACTAATTTGTTATCTACTTTTATGATTTTTACTGATTAGTTATCAACTTAAAAACGGAGGGACTTATTGAAGCAGTAAAAGAAGTCTTCCCACAGGCTGAACATTGACAATGTGCTAGGCACATTTATGCAAATTTCAAGAAAAGGTTTACCGGAATCCAATTCAGGTCATTATTTTGGGCTGTATCAAAAGCGAGAACGCCTCAGGAGTTTAGATGTGTAATGCAAGAAGTGAAAGGCTTAAGTCATGAAGCTTATGATCATCTCATGGAAAGAGATCCAAACACATGGTCAAGAGCCTTTTTCAAGACCGATACATCGTGTGATGCGGTTGAAAATGGAGTTAGTGAGTGTTTTAACTCATTAATTGTTTCAACAAGAAGGAAACCTATAATAACAATGCTTGAAGAGATAAGATTGACCATCATGGAAAGATTTGAGAAGATGGCCAAGAAAGTTGAGAAATGGAATGGTGACATTTGTCCGTCAATCAAAAAGAAAGTGGAGATATACAAAGATCAAATGAGGTATGTTTTTTAATTAATTTGTTTCATAAATGCGATAAATTGTTTACCTAATATATTTATTATATTATTATTATTCGCTTAGATTTTGGCAGGTTGTCCCGAATGGCGGGACTCTCTTTGAAGCAAAAAAGAAGCTTGACGGATATGTTGTCGATACAGATAAAATGACATGCACTTGCAGAACTTGGAAAATCTATGGAATTCCATGTGCTCATGCAGTTGCAGCTATCTATTTCATTAACCGAGACCTAGATAAGTATGTATCTCACTTTTTTTCAAAATCATGTTTAATTAGAACATACAACCATAGGGTCAATCCATTGAATAGCGTCAAGCTTTGGCCGACCATAAATTTTGTCAAGCCTTTACCACCAAATTTAGAAGAATGCCCAGTAGACCTTCAATATCTAGATGGAAGGATGCATGTGAAGGTGGTAGTAAAAGTAGGACCAACAATTTTGGACTGATGAGGTAGGAAGAACAGGAAGGCAGATGACTTGCAAAAATTGTTGGGGGTTGGACATAATTCAAGAGGTTGTAAAAACCAGAAAAAGGATGCACCTTTTATGCAAAAAAATCCGGTTGGTAGGCCTAGAGGCAGTGGTTCAAGTAGGGGTTCAAGAGGCAGTTTAGGGAGAGGTTCAAGCGGCAGGACTTCAAAGGGAAAGGGTTGGTCTAGTTCCACCGATTGTGGTAAGTAAACATTGTGATTCTATATGTTTTTTATTAAATTTTTTCGATTTGTTATTCAAAAGTCATTAGGTAATTAACGTGATTTTTTTCTTATTTGAAGTTGAAGCAAAAGAAGGAGAAGAAACTGCATCTAAAAGGACTAAGTGGAGCCGGGTGTAATATTGGTTGAGCATTAACGAAGTATAGGAACATTTTGGTTTATAATTGATAGCGGTGTTATGTTATTGCCCTTTTATTATAATTGATACGTCATTTTTGTAAAATATTTAACCATCTGAAATATTTTTGTTAATTAACTTATCAGTTTTTAGCAATGATTATAAATGTTTTGATTATTTGGTCTTGTTTAGTTAATTAAAATTTAAACAAATAATAGGCCTAAAGATGTAATTTTTCTTAATTGAAAATTATGTATTTCACAAAATAATAAAATTAAAAGAATGACATGAATTTTTTAACTGAAAAAAATACAAATTTAAAAAAATTAAAAAAATGATGTGGAATTTTCCTTTATTGAAAAAAATATAGATATCTAAAAAAATTAAAAATGACAAGGATTTTTTTTCTTAGTTGGCATTGATAAAATAAATAAACAATGCCACATCAATAAAAACCTGATCCTAGTCAACATTTGTAAGTCATTAGGTTGACCAGGTACCTAAATGATTGATATTTTACAATTGAGGTACCAAAATAAAGGTTTTAAAAGTATGTTACATAAAATAGGAATCAGATGAAAGTACGTTACTTTTTATTGCAATTTGCCCATTCCTCTAATATCTGCAATGGTCCAACCTATGGCTCTTTTGTGAGCTTTTAATACCTTTATCAACCTCAATTCTTGTTCATTGCTTAATTTCGAAGAAATAATTACGGGTAACTTTTCCTCCTCCATAAGAGAAACATACTTAAGGTGACTAGGTAATGGTTTTAACTCCAAATCGGGGGATTTCTCTATGGATGGTGGTTGGACAACTCTATCCTTAAAGTCAAGTTGCTCAAATCTTCCAAATCTTCCAACACATCATTTTCCTCCAAAATATCCTCAAGATTTTCTCCAATGTTGTTTTTATAGGTAGCGTCAATCAAACTTATTTCTAGATCTTCACCTAAAGCAGATATGACTGAACAATCGCCTANCTTATTTCTAGATCTTCACCTAAAGCAGATATGACTGAACAATCGCCTATCTCTCCATGAAACTTAAGGGAATTAAACACATTAAATTTCACTTCTTGATCACTAACTCTCATGGTCAACTCCCCCTTTTGCATATCAATTAATGTTCTCCCAGTTGCAAGAAAAGGTCGTCCTAAGATGATTGAGACATTCTTGTCAGCTTCATAGTCCAAAACTAGAAAATCGGCCGGAAAAAATAAATTTATCGACTTGGACCAAAATATCCTCTATTTTACCCTTAGGATATGCAATGGACCAATCCGCTAATTGTAAAGTCACGGTCATCGGACGGACTTCTCCTATTCCTAGCTTGTTAAAAACTGACAATGACATAAGATTAATGCTTGCCCCCAAATCACATAGGGCATGGCCTACTTCTTTTCCTCCTATAGAACATGAGATGGTAAAACTTCCTAGGTCTTTTAACTTGGGAGGAATTTTACAAGTAAGGAGTGCACTACATTCTTTGGTCAAAGCAACCGTTTTAAATTCATTTAACCTTCTCTTTTTATGCAAAATGTCTTTAAAAAATTTGACATAGCTTGGCATTTGCTCGAGAGCTTCTACTAACGGTATGTTAATGTGGAGTTGTTTAAAGATATCCAAAAACTTCTTAAACTGCTCATCCACATTTTTGCTTTTCATTCTTTCTGGAAAAGGTAAGTTCTGCAAATCTGGAGCTGGTTGAACGAATCTGTTTGGTTGGACAGTGGGCATAATCTTCCCACTGTCGGAATTTTCAGCAGAGAGCTGCACATTACTGGAAGTTGAAGTAGGGAATGTTTTCTGGATAGAAATAAATTTTTGAGTTTCTTCCTTGGAAGGATTCAAAATTGGAACATTTGACATATCAAAAGAATGTGAAACCTCGTTTTGATGTGTCGGTTTTTCGACGGTTTCACTTGTGTCATCATTGACTTTTGAACTCTCCTCACTCAACACAGTCACAGCTTTGATATGTTCTTTACCCTTCGGGGTTTTCATGTCACTAGGAAAAGTTTCTAAAGGTCTACCCTTGAGATCGGCGGCAAATTGGCCGAGTTGGGTTTTGAAACTCCTTAACGTTGCATTGGTTTGGTTTATAAAACCTTTAAGTAATGATTTGAGTGAACCATTACCATCCGATGCATTTTGCCTAGGCATGTGTAAGTGTGAGGATTGTCCATTTTGATAGTTGTGCGAAACACCTTGCCCATATCCCAGGGGATTTTGTTGCCGATTTTGGACTTGAGTAACCCCGGGGGGTTGAAGCCCAGGATTTCCGGTCCAAGAAAAATTGGGGTCATTCCTCCAATTTGAATTATATGTGGGAGAAAATGGGCAATTTCTAGCATGACCCCCAACATAATTTACCGAGACGGGATTTTCGAGGCAATATTCATAAGAATGGCCGTCACCGCAAAAGACACAAGATTCAGTCATAGGTGGGTTTGACATTATGGATTGAACTTGATTATTCTTTCCATTCAAACGTAAATTGTTTTTAACCAAATTAGTTAAAGCTACAAATTGAGCATTTAAAGCAGAAATGATATCAATTTCATGGATGCCTGAAGCAGATTTAGAAACAACAACACGAGGATTTGACCATTCTGTATTATTATTAGAAATTCATTCCAAAATGTCATGTCCTTTGTTGTAAGTCTTAGCTGTGAACGCTCCACCGGCCGTTGCGTCAAGAATAATTTTAGCAGAATGGAGAGACCATTATAAAATGTCTCCAATTGAATGCAATGAGGGATTCCGTGGTGAGGAAATTTCCGTAAAAGGTCCTTAAATCTATCTCATGCATCCGAAACCGCTTCATCTTCTTCTTGTCGAAACGTCATAATTTCATTTCTAATTTTTACATTCCTCGTCGGAGGAAATTATTTTTTTTAGAAATTTTTCCGCCAAATCATTCCAAGTTAGGATAGAGTTTGGTGGTTGAGAATTTAGCCATGCTCTAGCTCTATCCTTCAATGTGTAAAGGAAAAGCGTCAAGCGTAAGGCTTCTTGTGTGACTCCGGGAATTTTAAAATGATCTGTCATTTCGATAAAAGATTTTAAATTAGAGTGCGGATCTTCTGACGATAATCCCCCAAACTGACCCATTGCGGAAATCATTTGGAACATTACCGGTTTTGGTTCAAAAGCTGTCGCTGTCATTTTGGGCCTACTATTCCCGCGGCCAACTGACCGAATTCGGGAGTTGCGTAGTCCCGTATGCCTCTATTTTGATCATCGGCAATATTAACCGTGGCCTCCCGTGGAGGTAAATTATCCCCCATGGTACAGTTACGATTATTTCTACCTCTTCAACATCTTCTAATGGTTCTTTCTAATTCAAGATCAAGAGGTAAAAGTTCACCGTATTGTAGCCTTGGCATACAACACGCAAAATAACGAGTGAAACAAAAGAACAAGGCTCAAATGAAAAATCAATATCTCAGGATAAAAATTGCGTTACCTTCCCCGGAAGTGGCGCCAAAAACTTGACAGGCTCGGATCGTTCGTGTTCACCCAGTGGGCACTATGTCCCCACAGTGGTAGTGCAAGTGCACGCCGACACTATGATTGCTTGCAAGTAATAAAGAGGTACAAAGTACCGAGATCGTTCCACAGAGAAGGTACTACTGAGATTCATAGACTTTTCATGAACTTCTTGCACGGGTTTCGAGTTGTAAATTAAAGTTGGATTTTTGTTTATAAAAAGACCGAAATAGGACCGACTAGCGAAATAACAAAATAAACTTTTAATATTAATTAATGAGCATGGGTGCAAGTGTTGCTTAAGATAAAATTAACAATAAAATGGTTAGACTTTTATGAGTTGTTTATAAAAACTTCAATCTCTCGAAAGTGAACTTTTATAACCGGGCCTCATAAAATTTCAAAATGTTTTTACGTTTACCACTTCGAAACTTTCCGATCTACCTAAAAAGTAAAAGGAATGCGATTCATACCCAAATCTCTTTGTGATAAGAATACCTATTGCTTAACCCCTAGCTAAATACATACAAAATTCGCGTCTCCACGTAATTATTCAAAGACTCTCTCGAGTTCTGTGTGCATCACTTAAGCCGTATTTCGGAATCCATTTCTGGGTCTAAGATCTAATATTAACACTTCAAAGTGATCGGCTTATCCGCGTCGAGTTTAAGTCCCGTCTTAAGTGACCAAGTTACGAAGTGATAAAAGATAAAAACACCCAAATATTATATAAACATCCTAAGCTAAACTCACACCCACACCCACACCCATACGAGTAATTTAGCTAGACATAATAAAAATAATTAAAGACATAAAATAATACTGAAATATAAATTGCATTAATGTAAAACTAAATTACAAGTACAAGGAAATAAAATACTAGACCAGAAATTAAAGACATAAATTAAAAAGCATAATAAAAGTAAAAGAAAAAAAAGGGAGAAGTGAGACACAAAAGATGTTTTGTGTCTTACTTGGTGTGGTTAGTGCCTCCTCAAAATGACTCCCAAAGCCTCCTTATATAGGGGGGAGAAGGGGAGCAAGTACAACCAATCATTACCCCAAGGATAATTAGTATAATGCAAAAAAAATACAAATAAAAATAAAATAGAAGAAGGAAAACAACTCATATACAGCTGGAGAAAATATCTGGACAAGCTGCATGTTTCCCAAGAAGCAGCAACAAGGCTCGTAGACATCCCACAGTGGTGCCACAGTAGGCAGTGCTGCCAGAAAATACAGGTTTTTGGAATAATACTTCTTTCTTTGTGTTTCATCATCTTTTTAAAACTTTTTGGAATAAAAGAGGAAAAACAAGAAAATTGGGTATTTAATAATAAAAAAAGGGAGGAAATAAATAGGAAATAACTCTTAAAAAATAAGAGTTATCAGTATGGTACAATGTGTTCTAAAGAAAGATGGAACCATGGTTATCACTAATGACATAAATGAGCTCATCTCTACTAGGACCGTCACCGAATGTCGGATTTGCATGAATTATAGGCAATCAAATCTAGCTACTAAGAATGACCATTTTTCTTTACCCTTCATTGATCAAATGCTAGATAGATTGGCCAAAAAAGAATTTTATTGCTTTTTGGATGGAAATTCGGGTCACAACCAAATTCACATTGCACCCGAGAATCAAGAGTCCTTTTGAAACTTTTGCCTTTCGACGTATGCCATTTGGTCTATGTAATGCACTGGCTACTTTCTAACGTTGCATGGTGTCAATCTTTTCGAACATAATTGAAGATACCATGGAAGTGTTTATGGATGACTTTTGAGTTGTCGGCACATCTTTTGAAAATTGTCTTGCCAATTTGAAGAAAAATTTAGAGAGATGTGAGACTCATGATTTAATTTTAAATTAGGAAAAAAATGTCATTTTATGGTACAAGAAGGAATTCTTTTAGGTCACATGGTTTCTAAAAATAGTTTGGAGGTTGATAAAGCAAAAATCAAAGTTATAATGCAATTGCCCGAACCATCTTCGGTCAAAGGCATTCGTAGTTTTTTGGGACATGTGGGTTTTTACCGTAGATTTATTAAGGATTTTTCAAAAATTGCAAAACCCTTATGTAATTTATTACATGTTGATCAAGCTTTTGAATTTACCTCTTAATGCAAAAGGTGTTTGAAACTATCAAAACAGCTCTTGTCATGGCACCTATTGTCATTGCCCCAGACTGTACCACACCTTTTGAGGTTATGTGTGACCAAGTGACTGGGCCGTAGGTGCCGTTTTAGGACAAAGACATAACAAGATTTTCCACCTCATTTACTATGCAAGTAAAACTTTGGCAGAATCCCAGTTAATTAATACCACCACGGAGAAAAAATTTCTTATGGTAGTATTTGCCTTCGATCGTTTTCGATCCTACTTGATTGGCACTAAAATCATTGTGCATATGGATAACTCTGTCATTAAATATCTCTTTAATAAAGTCGAGGCTAAGCCAAGGCTTATTAGATGGATTTTTCTTTTACAAGAATTCGGTTTAGAGATCGTTGATCGCAAATGAAGTGACAATCAAGTAGTTGATCACCTCTCAAGAATTGAAGGGAAAATTTCAAGTGGGGGAGATGATGCGATAGAAGAACTTTTTCCTTAAGGGTATATTTTGGCAATTCAACACAATTTTCAAATGAAATTTTGTGGTATGCTGATATTGCCAATTATCTTGCCTGTGGTCTTAAGACATATCATCTTCAAGGACATCGTTTTAAAAAATCCCTTCATGATTGCAAACATTACTTGTGGGATGATCCATTTCTTTGCAAAATTGGAGTAAACCAAGTCTTGCGAAAATGCTTTCCAAATTATGAAATTCCCTCTTTGTTAAAATATTGTCATGCATCATTGTATGGTGGCCATTTTGGTGGACAACGTATAGCCACAAAAAAAATTACAAAGTGGATTTTTTGGCCAACCTTGTTTAGGGATGCGTTTGATTTTGTAAAGAGATGTGATAAGTGTCAGCGAATGGGAAACTTGTTCCGAAAAAATGAAATGCCTTTAAACAACATTTTTTAAGTTGAACTATTTGACGTTTGGGGCATCGATTTCATGGGGCCATTTACAATGTATTTTAATAATCAATATATCTTGGTTGCGGTAGATTATGTTTCAAAGTGGGTAGAGGCTAAAATGTTAATTGACTTTTTGCATAAAAATATTTGTGTCTATTTCGAAACTCCCTGAGCCTTGATAAGCGATGAAGGGACGCATTTTATAAATCGAATGTTAACTACCATTCTTGGAAAATACAACGTCCAACATCGAGTTGCTACGGCTTACCATCCGCAAACAAATAGTCTTGTCGAACTTTCTAATCGTGAAATTAAAATATTTTAGAGAAAGTCGTAAAACCTAAAATCGTAAGGATTGGTCACTCAAGTTGGATGATGCTTTATGGGCATATCGAACCGCCTTTAGAACCCCTTTGGAAATGTCTCCGTACCAATTGGTTTTTGGTAAAGTTTGCCACCTTCTGCTAGAATTAGCGTACAAAGCTTTTTGGGTGATTAAAGAATTTAATTTAAACAAAAATTCTGCGAGAGACAAAAGAAAACTTCAACTTAATGAGTTGGAAGAATGTGATATCACGCCTACGAAAATGGCAAGTTATACAGAGAGAAAACAAAAGTGTGGCATGATGGTCAGGACAAAGGTTTTTCTCTTTAATTCTCAACTAAGGCTTTTCCCTGGAAAGTTTAAATCAAGATGGTCAGGACCATTCATATTTGTCAATGTGGGGAAATTCGGAACGATAGATCTTTTGAATCCCCAAGATAACAGTGTTTTCAAAGTTAATGGACATCGAATCAAACATTCCCTCCCAGAAGGAATGACTAATCCAACCCAGTAATTTTCCAACATGCTTTTCAAAATGCCTGCAAATATTTATGTTTTTAAAAAAATTTCACTGTTTTGTTACAATAGTGGTCTGACAGTGGGAAGTTTGTGCCCACTGTCTTGAATTTTTGTATCCGGCGGGAAAACTCAGCTTCTTGGTTTATGGTTTTATCCAGTTATTTTGAAAAAGATGAAACTTGCAGGAAAAAGGTGGTTTTTGGAAAAAAAAAAAAGTTTTTGGTTTAGGCAATGATGACAAATCTTTTTAGGTTTGATTTTCTTTTTCTCAAAAAGGGGTGAGTGGGTTTAACCACTATGTAATGCATTGTTTTTTTCTCTTGTGTATCATGGATAACCGGATTTAGTGGGGAGGTTTCCAAGGTGGTTTTCAAAAAAAAAAATTTAAAAACAAAAAGTAAAAGGTAGTTTCCTTTTTATTTTTCCTCCTTGTAAAAAAAATTCAAAGCAAGAACCAGCACCTTCATCTTCTTGATCGACTTCCATGGCCCGACCAAAGTAGCCAGTTAGAAATCCTAAACCTTCCTGCCATTCAATTGTCGTCGGCAGGCCATCGTCGCCACCACCGATGACTCTCCACAAGCCGACGATCAAGCCATCTCATCAACAGCTGTTGGTTCGACCATCCCATCGTCGAAGCGGCTGGTTCCTCCATCGTGAGTGTCGATGCTGCTCCCCAAGGCCAGCCAACGGCCGCCATTGCTCGTCGCTCCAACCCTCTATCGCTAACTCCCGTCAATCGTTCAACCTCCATCGCCTTCGACGACCACCATTCTCACTTACGAGGAAGGCCACACCATTCTCCCTAGGGTACCAATTTCCTCCCTCACTTCCTCCATAACTCCTCCCTACACCACCACTACTACCCCTAAGCCATTTTTAGCCCTCACTACCCATTCCCCTTCCCCTGCCGTGCCACCA